GCCCCAAGGCTGCCAGAGCTCCAGGAGCGTTTGGACAGCGCTCTCAGGGATGCTCAGGGTGGGATTGTTGGGGGGTCTGTGCAGGGACAGGGGCTGCACTCATCATCCCTGTGAGTCCATTCCAGCTCTGGACATTCCAGGATTCTGTGATCAGTGCAGACAAAAGAGCTCAGAGCTCCAGACTTGGAAGCAGCTTTCTGCTCTGGGTTCAAAAACATCCACGTCCGAAACACCCCCTGACAGCATCAAACCAGCAAACCAGGGCTGCCTACCTTAAGATATTTATGAAGAGCTGTATTATGCCTCTTTTATGTCTTTCAGCATACTCAGGACCTCGACTTTAAAGAGAGACCTATTTTTCCCCTCTACAGCTCTTGAAAAGACGCTTTTAGGACTGAAGGCAGCTCTTCCCTCCTCCTTAGAGCGCACGCTTTCAAAGCACTTCACACACATTCAATAATCTTTTCATCCTGCTCTGAAGCAGGTGGGTTTTAGTTGTCTAAGAGATGGAAAAAGCACTTCAGCCAAGTCAGGATGAGAATTTGCAATCTCCAGATTCCCAGTCCTGGACAGAAAACCCCACCAGCCTCAGTGCTCAGCCAGCACAGAATTTTCACAAACCTCCAAGGCAGCCACACTCTGTTACCACACAGGCAAATCCCTGCAATAAAACAGGGGAGCAGATTCCCACACCAAGTATTTCATGTTTCAGACCCCAGTTCAAACGTGTCCCTCACTCTCCATGTTTGTATTTATGGACCTGCTTCCAGACAGGAAGGAAAGGGAATGCCTGACACATCCAGACAGCAGCAGTCAGGGAAAACTCAATCCTCCTGCTCCTGCAGATCTCCAAGGATCACGGAGGGCTCTGCACCACTTTCCCCCAGTGCCTGGGAGCACCTGAGCACTGCGTATGAAGAACAGAGACCATGTTATGAACACCTGAACCTTGGAAAGTCTGGAGAGGTGAGGGTGGCCAAAAAACGAGGGAACAGTGCTACATCCCACAAACTCCTCTTTCCACATCCTCTCTGCTTCATCTGGCACATGTCCCCCCTCCCAGAACCTGCCAGGGCCAGCTCCACTGGCAGTTTCCAAAAGCTCCTTTCAAAGCTACGAAATTGCACCGGGAGTTTTGGGGTTCCTGCCAATCCTCCGGTGATCCTCAAACATCAAAGCCAGCCCCAGCCTTGAATCAATATGTTTAGCAGGCTGCTCCTTCAGATCTTATCCTTTTTTTTTCTAGGCAACCTCCCAGAAAACACCAGTCTGTGCTGTAGCTCTTCGTGTAGAAATCCATCCGCCTTGGCAAAAAAAAAAAAATGAGGCTTTTAAAGCTTCTCTATCGAGTGATGTGATTAAATAGGTCAGATCTGCCCATGTGCATGGTTAGAAGGCTACTTCAAAACAAGACAGGCAGTTCCCCCGGCACAGAGCAAGCCCTGGGGGTTAGAGAACCTGCTCCCAGAAGATGGTTGCCTGGTTCTGGCTGAGCTACTACACCCTCTAGTGTAAATCCTACAGATCCTTGCAGGTGACAGGAGCCTCAGGCAGGGAAATGGCAGGAGCACTTTAACCAGAATCCTTCCGAGGAAGCTGAGCCAAGCACTGCAAAATAACTGCAAAAGTGTCTCCTGCTCCTACAGGAATCAGGAACATTTTGTGATCAGCTGGAGACTGCTCTAAAAGCCTAAGATTGCAGCAAGTCCACTGCTCATCTCCCATTTCTCAGTGGGAATCCCAGAATAGCTTGGGTTAGGACAGACCTTAAAGCCCATCCAGTGCCACCCCTGCCATGGCAGGGACACCTTCCACTGTCCCAGGCTGCTCCAATCCCAATGTCCAACCTGGCCTGGGACACTGCCAGGGATCCAGGGGCAGCCACAGCTGCTCTGGGCACCCTGTGCCAGGGCCTGCCCACCCTCCCAGGGAACAATTCCTTCCCAATATCCCATCCAGCCCTGCCCTCTGGCAGTGGAAGCCATTCCCTGTGTCCTGTCCCTCCATCCCTTGTCCCCAGTCCCTCTCCAGCTCTCCTGGAGCCCCTTTAGGCCCTGCAAGGGGCTCTCAGCTCTCCCTGGAGCCTTCTCCTCTCCAGGTGAGCACCCCCAGCTCTCCCAGCCTGTCCCCAGAGCAGAGGGGCTCCAGCCCTTGGAGCATCTCCGTGGTTCCTCTGGAATGGCTCCAGCAGCTCCACGTCCTTCTCATGTTCAAGGCCCCGGACCTGGAGGCAGCTCTGCAGGTGGGAGTCAACACAGAATCAACATTAAAAAAAGGCTGGAGGTGAACCCTGAGCTGAGACAGAACTCCCAGATCCTTGTTATGCCAGCCATGCCATGTGCTGGATGCCAAGAGTTTGGGAAAGAGGCAGGAGCAGGCTCTGAGCTGGCTGCAGGGAGCAGGAGGCAGTGCCTGGAGTTCAGCCTCGTGATCCTGCTTCTTTCACAAGAAACTTCCCCTTGGGAAACCAGGCCCACACTGTGGGTTTTATTTGCCAAAAAAACTCTTCTCTAAGTGCTGTAGATTAGGTTGTATTTTTAGAAAAATTCCTTCATACAAAAAGATGTGAAGCACTGGAAGGGGCTGCCCAGAGCAATGGTGGAGTCCCCATCCCTGGAAGTGTCCAAACAAAGTGTGGATTTGGCTCTGGAGGACATGGCTTAGTGGTGACCATGATGGTTGAAGGTTGTATTTGATGAACCTGGAGAGCTTTTCCAACCTTAACAATTCCATGATTGCAAGTAAACTCTTACTCCCAAAACTCAGGCTGCTTCTCCTGTGTCTCTGACATGCCCAGGCCAAGCCTAGCAAGGCACTGGGGTATTTTCCTTGCCCTTCACACTCAGCTTACATCAACATTTCCAGCCAGCTCTGGGAACCTCACACACTTTCCAGGGGCACACAGAGGTTTTCCCTTCCCCACTTCAAACTCCAAACCCAGCCCAAGCTGTTATCAAGCACAGCAGCACCTGGTGCAGGCCAAAGTAAGCAATTCCAGTTCCAAAATGGACACCTCACAGATATTTAAAGACATGCAGGAACAGCACACTGAAGGATAATTATAACATCATCTAAAGAACTATCCTAAAGCATTTTAGGGAGCTTTTAAAATTCAAAAGAACACTGAAATTGGCAAAAATTTTTGTCTTTCTAACAATTATCTGCCTGTGACAGCCCTGAGAAAGCTTCTTTTATTTTAAACTAAACTAGTAGTGGTGGTAAGCTGGCCTGGTAACCAGGAGACATCAATAATTAATCCTCTTCCAAACTTGAGAGCAATCCAAAGTTAAGTAAGCACACAAAAAACACAAGCTGAGCTTTGTTTTGGCAATTTGTGCTTCACATTATTAGAGACTGTCCACACCAGCATTATTATCCCATTATACCTAACTGAAATAACAAAGCTGTGACAAGAAGAAAAGCCATCAGGGTTCTTCTAGGGAGAAGAATGAAGGCTTTTTTTTCTCCCAATAAATCAGCAGAACAGCAAATAATGCGTATAAATAAAATGACAAGAGTTGCTGCAAGAACAGACAACAATAGCTCACTATTGACCCTTGTGGGTCCCTTCCAACTCAGGATATTCCAGGACTGTCTGATTCACTGGGTTTTTTGTGCCAGGCTGTCTTTGAGAAGCCTGGCAGTGCTCTGTGCCCCACAAACTCCTCACGGGGGGGTCTGGCTGATCACAGCCCCCCAGAGGCCGCAGTTCAGGCCCTGCCTCCTCGATCCAGGCAGCTCCTGAAGGGCTCTAACGGCGCGGGAGCTGTCAGCAGGTTTGGAATCCGGCGCTGACACCTCAGCACCACGTGAGCCCAGTGCCTGGAGCGACAAAGAACGGGCTCAGGGCAGCGCTGCCCTCCTGGGGCTGGGACTGGCCCGGGAGCTGCTCCCCAACACCCCGCGGGCAGCGGGCACGGCGGGATCCCACCGACCCCGGCCACCGCATCGCTCTCACCCGCTGCGGCTGCCGAGCTCCTTCAAACCCTGCCTTGGAGCAAGGACGAGGTGACAGCCACGGCCCGGGCAGGGCTGGGGACACGGGGCCACAGAGCCGAGGGACGGGCGGGTCCAGCGGGTGATACCGACACAGCCCCGGGGGTCACCGCACTGAGGAGGGGCTGAGGGGAGCTCAGGGCAGCCGAAGGCAGATCCGGGCCCTGTACGGGGGCAGACGGGAGAGGAGGCGGCCAGGCACGGGCCTGCCCCTCGCCGGGGGGAAAACACACGGGGCGGGGGCGAAAGCACGAGCGGGCTGGGGGCGGCAGGGACGGGAACAGCCGCAGCCCGGGGAGGGGGCCGGGGAAAGGTGAGGGGGTACCGCGGCCGGGCCGGGCCGGGCCGTACCTGCGACGTGTCCGAGGGGGAGCCCCACGCTGGGGTCACCCGAGGCTCTGGAGGCTCCGCACGGCGCCGGAGCCACCGGGGGGTGACGGAAGTGGCAGTAGGGCCTGCGGCACCCCCGGCCCGGCCCCGACCCCCCGGCGTTGAGGAACGGGCAGTCGATGCCGCGGAAATAGCCGGTGGATCTGAGCATCCCGCCGGCTGCAGGGCGGGAGCGGGGCCGGGCGGGCGGAGGAGCCGCAGGCGACCGGGACGCGCTCCCGCTTCACACGGCCGGTACCGACCCCGCCGCCATCTTGGGAGCGCCGGGCGCGGCGACGAGGACCCCGCGACGCCGCTGCCCGCACAGGGCTGCCCGCGGCGCGCCTGAGAGCGGGGCGGGGCGGGGCTGGGGAGGGGCCGGGAGCTGCCACAGGATCCTGGAATGGCCGGAGGGGGATCCAGCAGCGATCATGGATCCAACCCCTGTCCCTGCAGAGACCCCCCAACAATCCCACCCTGAGCATCCCTGAGAGCGCTGTCCAAACGCTCCTGGAGCTCTGGCAGCCTTGGGGCCGGGACCATTCCCTGGGGAGCCTGGGCAGTGCCCAGCACCCTCGGGGGGAAGAACCTTTCCCTGAGCTCCATGCCAAGCCCTGGCACAGCTCCAGCCCTTCCTGGGCTCCTGGCCCTGGCCCAGAGCAGAGCTCAGCCCCTGCCCCTCTGCCTCCCCTCGGGAGGAGCTGCAGCCCCCGAGGAGTCTCCCCTCAGTCTCCTCTGCTCCAGCTGGACTGCAGCGTTCCCGTTCCCTCGGGGCATGGCCAGGCTGCAGGAGCCGCCATCCAGAACCAGCGCTCTCAGGGATGCTCAGGGTGGGATTCTTGGCGTGTCTGCAGGGCCGGGAGTTGGACTCGATGATCCCTATGGGTCCCTCGCAGCTCAGGATATTCCAGGATTCTGTAATCCTAGCTCGGCCAGGTTTGGCACATCCCCATAGCACGGGGAGAAACAGGGGCTGGGGGTACGGCCCCAGGGCTGGACCCACCTCATGGTGCTGCCCAGCACCCCCAGAACCCCCGGCTGTGGGCACAGTGATGGTCACGGGCTCCTTGCTCTGTGGCCCATCAGCCCTTCCTCTTCAGTACAGGCCATGGTGGAGCACCATGGACCACACCAGCAGAGCCTGCAGATCCCAGCATGGACCAGTGTCCCAGCACATTCCAGTAGGCCCAGCAGGGACCACCATGGACCACCTCCCCAGCACGGACCACTGCCTGCTCTTAGTACATCCCACTGCACTGCCTCAGCATGTCCCAGCATGGATTACCATGGACCACCAGCCCATCCCTGCCAGGGACCACCAGCCTCATCACGGCCCCCAGTCCCAGTACAGCCCATCCTCAAAAGAGCTCCCTGAGCCCCAGCACAGCCTGGGTCTCCAGGAGAGCAGCAGGACACTGGGCAGGTTTGGGCAGTGGCCCCAAGGCCAGGCCAATAACGGGTTCACATCCCATGAGGGCCCAGCCCCCTCCTTGCCCCAGGCAGTCACACCTGCATTTCCCAGTGGGGAAACTGAGGCACAAAGTGACAGCACTTTGGCTGAGCTGAGCCAGAGCAGGGACCTGGAGCCAGCCCGGGGGGATCAAGCAGGTGAGGGACATCCACAGCTCCTGGGAACCACCTGGCACTGCCCCTGCCTTGGGTGTTCAGAGCAGGGAGGCTCCACCTCCATAGGTGAGGCCCTTCTCAGGCCAGCAAGGACCAAGCCCTGCGAGGAGAAATCCCATGGATGGAACCAGACACACCAGCCTGGACAGACAGGATGATCCAGGGAGCCTCACCACTTGTGCAAGGAGAGATGGGAAGCTCAAGGGCAATGCCAGGAACAATTGGGTGATGCAGAGAAAGGTGCACAAGGAGGAGTTGGCCTTGGCCAAAGGGAGGGACAAGGGATAGATAGAAGAAATTGTGTTTTGTAATAGCCTTAAGTGAAAAAACCACACTTTGTTTTCCAAATTGGGCACACGCTGCTGCCTCCTCCCTGCCCATTGCTCCCATGGCATCCCAGCAGAGTCCAGGAGAAGACAATACCAGGAGAGGAACCAGCAGCTGCTGAACCTGGGAAACCTTAATAATCCATAAAAAGCAGGAAACCCCAGGAGATAAATTGCCTTCCCTCCGGCAGAAACTTGGCCCTGGCACAAGGTGCTTGTCGGGGAGGGCTGTGCTAAGATCTCCACCCACACCTCCCCAGCCAGTCCCCCTCTCCCATCAGGCCTGGGAGAGCAAGCTCATCTTTCCCCCACAAAAACAGAGTGGTTTTATTTTTATGGTATGGTTAAATCTATTTTATAGAACTTCAGCTGTAACAGAGAAGCTTCAAGAAACACACACACATAAACAAAAGCTCAGATACACGGGTTATTTCCCTGCCTTATAATTCTCACCCCGTGCTTTCTCATCTTACAAACAAGCAAAATAAAATAAAATAAGTAAAAAAATAAAATATTTGTTTCTGACTTGGAGGACTCCACATGGAAAACCTTCACAAAATCGATGCTGGTCTTGCTTTTGCCTTCCCATTTAAGCTCAGTTAACCGGGATGCCCATTCAGCTCCCAGTGAACAGCACTGGGAAGGTGCCAAGGGTCCCTCTGCAGCTCCTCTGGAAGCAGCAACCCCCAAATTCTCCCATCCTGCTCAGCACTCCACAGGAATTCCCTCCAACCCTGCTCAGGACCTAAATCCCCCCCCACCCCCAGCCTCATTGACTGATCATGGGACCCCCAAAACTCCCTCAACACCTCAAAGCTCCTGACCCTCTGCAGAGAAGTGGGAGGACTCCAACCCCACTGCCTCGCATGTCCCACAGCCAGAGCCCCTGGTTTCAGGTAAGGAGGGGCTGTCACTGACCTTAGTCCCTGCAGGGACAAGGGGTTGGCCCAGGAGAGCCAGGCAAGGGGATGTCACTGCAGAGGGGCCAGAGTCACCCCTGGCACAGCCCTTCCTGCTGCTGGGGGATACCAGGACCTGTCCCCAGTGACAGGGGGACACCACACTGTGCTGGGTGACAGTGACACAGGGACCTGTCCCCAGGGACAGGGAAACACCACATTGTGCTGGGTGACACAGGGACCTGCCCTGGTGCCAGGGTGACCTCATGCCTTGCTGGGTGTCCCCCACACATCCAGAACCACGAGGGTGTGACCCAGGAACGTGGCTCCAGGGCTGCCACGGGGGATGCTCCTGCTTCACTCCCCAGAGCAGAGGTCAGATCCAGCCCTAGGAATTGGGGGTTTCCCTGGAATCTCATCCCCATCCTCCAGCCTTGCCCCCCCGCCCCAGCTGAGGCCATGAACCCCCAGCTGGGTGAATGGGGTTGAGTTTTGGGAGAATAGCCCAAAAAAATGGAAACCAGCTGGAGATGCTGGTGTGACCAGAGCCTCCCCCCACAGACCCCCACTCCCTGCTCCTTGTTCTACATCCATCCATGAGCATCCTAGGGTGAGTTTCTGCTCCCCACGGGGGAGATTTTCTCTGTATCCACAAGGAAACTTTTCCATTGTCCCAGCCCAGCCTCAGTGTGAAGTGCAAGGTGGGGTTTGTGAAGCTGGAGAAGGGAACAGATTTGGGAGAACAGGGCCTTCCCTGGAGTTGCCAGAACATCCTCACATGGGGTCACATCTTCACAGAGATGGCTGATCAGGATGGTGACACCGCTCCCAGTACTCCCAGTACCCCATCCTGGTACCACCCTACCTATAAAGCCCCATGGTCCATGTCCCCCATAGAAGGTCTTCCCCAGACAGAGTTTCTCCGTGACACCCCATAATCCCATCCTCATCCTGGGGCAATGGCCTGGCTGCTGCATCCCACCCTGACCAGCCCCAGCCCATGGATGGCTGCTGCATCCACCCAGGGGGATGTTCCAGCTCCCCACGGTTCTCCTGGCACCCCAAAGGGATGTTTTGCCCTCCCAAGGGGTGCTCTAGGTCCCCACAGGTGCTCCTGGTACATGAAGGGGATGCATCCCAGCCCCTCCTCCAGGATGTTCTGGTCCCTCTATGGGATTTTCATCCCCCCAGGATGTTCCTGCTGTCCTAAGGGGATGCTCTGGCCCCTACAGGACAATGTTTTTGTCACGAAGGGGCTGCTTCCAGCCCCCCACGGGGACATTTCAGTCCCTCAGGGTGTCCCAGCCCCCCAAATCGTGTCCTAGCCGCGGTGCGTGGTCCCCCGTGTGCTGTCCAGGCGCTGTCACCGCGGGGCTGTGGCAGCCCGTGGGCCTCCCTTGGCCGTCCCAGCCTCCAGGCATCGCTCAGGCATAGGATGACAAAGGGAAGCTCACAGGGGGCAGCGGGCCCGGACCCGCACTCTCCGAGAGCTCCTGCGGACAGAGACATGTGAGGGGAGAGAAGCCTGGGGAGCCGGAGGATCCGAGGGAGCTGGGGGGCTCTGGAGAGTTGGGAAATCCCGAGGAGTTGAAGGATCTCGGGGATCTGGGATAATCCCAGGAGGCTGAGGGATCCTACAGCAGCTGGGGAATCCCGTGGAGACAGGGGAACTGGGGGGATCAGAGGGAGCTGGAGATTCTCAGCCTGCCCCACGTCCAGGAGGTGAAAACCAGCCCAAGGGTCTCCCTGTGCAAGCCACGGCCCTGGCCACGCTGCAGCCCCTGGGGGTGGTTTGGGACATGGCAGGTGTGAGGTGCCAGTGGGGCCGGTGGAACCCGAGGGTGAAGAGAGGGGCCAGAGGGGGTGTGGGGCTGCTCAGGGGCGTGTGCACATCTGTGTGTGAGTGTGTGAGCCCATCTCTGTGTGTGTGAGTGTGAGTGCACATCTACATGTGTGTGTGTGTAGGTCTGTGTGTGTGTGGACACCTGTGTGTGTGTGTGCAGGTCTCTGCAGGGCTGTGCACACTCGTGTGTGTGTGTGTGTGAACGTGTGTGCAGAGGTCTCTGTGTGCAGGGTGCATGTGCTCATCCATCCGTGTGCACATGGACGTGCACAAGCAGAGGAGGGTGGGGCCATCCCATAGTTTCCCACCCAAGCCCGGGGTCCCAACCCACCTCAGGGACTGCCACCTGCCACCCCTGTCCCCAGCCCCAGCCATCAGAGCAGGGCCAGGTGCTCCCCCGGTTCTGGGCACCGTTCATGTGTTCTGGGTGCCCCTCCAAGGTTGTGGGTGCCCTCTCAGGGTTCTGGGTGTCCCCAGG